GGAAGAGGAGCCCATCTGAACGAAGATGTCATAAAGATGGGACTTACTGATGGGGGGAAAGGAGGTGCTAAGAAATGCCAGGGAAGGGTAAGCCAGGAGGCAAAAACTGCATGTGCAAAGGCCCAGAGGCAGGAAGGCACACAGCACACATGTGGTCTGCTGTGGCGCCGTGCAGAAGCTCTCGGGAAGGAGGGAAAGGCGGCCAGGGCAGTCACAGAGGCCCAGAGTTCCAGGCTAAGTTCTTGGATGAAAGGCTGGGCGTGGGGCATAGGAGGTCCCTGAGCAGGAGAAGGCCATGGTCAAGGTTTTCATGGAGAGGTCATTATGGGGCCAGAAGGATGGCCTGAGATGGACGAGCAGGAAATGGTCTAAGTTGAGTTTTCCCATTTTCCCGTGTGCTCAGAGGTTTCCTCCCCATGACCTCTCTGCCCTCCATGTACCCCACTCCCTACAGCCCTGAGCCCTGAGCCCCACTCCACCCAGGTCAGCCTCAGAAGCTCGCTCCTGGGAACTTCCTGTGAGGAACAGGCTCCCAAGGGGCCCTGGATCCAATCAGGCTGGGTTTCCGCAGCCCTGCGGGTGGGAGGTGGGGGGAGGGGCAGGGTTCCATTGTGGTGGTGGGGCTGACCAGAGCAGGGGGGCTGCTGTCTATGCCCTGGGCGATGGGATCTGGGATGCTAACCCCTCCCTGACCCCTCTCATCCACTGCCAACCCCAGAGCCCCCAGGGCAGTGCCCTTACCCTCCTGGTAGCCTCAGTGCTCTCACTTAGGAAATGGGCCATGACTGCTCCTCTCGGGGCTGAGAGATGTGCTGCGGGCTGTGAACACATGCCCTGCTCTGCTTCCATCCCCCTGGGGATCCCCATCTCCCATCCCCACAAGGGACTCCTCTGGCCACCATCAAATGACAGTAACAAAACAACAATAACAGTTACTAAGCATGACTCCCAGGTCAGGTGCTATTAGGTGCTTTACAAGCATTTCTCACTCAGCCCCCTAATGACCCTGTGAAAGATGGGGGTGGGCGGGGCAGGGAACTGGAGCCTTCTGCCATCAGCTGGCTATGCGACCTTCAGCAAGTCCATTTCCTTTCGGGGCCTTCATTCTTTCATCCATAAAAAGATTCCACTCAGTCACAGCCTGAGTTCCTGGACCCGCTGAGGGCCAGTGCGGCAACTGACAGGTCATCTTCTGGAACAAGATGGTGTGGGGGGATGCTAATGGGTTGATAACGGTGTCCCCACAGTGCTGCTGTGAAGATGAAATGGGTTAATATGTATAAAGTCTTTAGAAGAATGCCTGGTACACAGCAAGGATTCCATATTGGCTACTGCTGTTCTGTTACTAGGTTCTCTAAGGATAGAGAGCCTTTCCCAACCCAAAGACCCACGTGGAAATCTGACCAAGCTGTGGCAGCAGCTGGGCATGTGGGAGCCAAGTCTGGGATTAACTCAAAGCAGGACAGCCAGTTGCTGAACGCCAGCTGTGACCTGGCTCCCAGAAACTTTCTAGACAATTCCTAGGGGTTGTAGGCAGGGAACCCCTGGCAGATGGTCAGAACCTGTTCTCATGCTGTATCTCCAGACCCCTGAGTGGGCCCTCGACGCAGGGCAAGGCAGCCAAGGGAGGGGTGGGCTGGTCAGAGAGGGTGGGGAGTGCCTGGGGTGGACACGTGTGGGGGGTAAAGAGGCCAGAGAAAACCTACCCCAGGCCCTGCCAGGCCAGGTCTCTCACCCTCGCCCAGGGATTGTCTAGAGCAGGGGTGGGCAAACTTTTTGACTCGAGGGCCACAATGGGTTCTTAAGCTGGACCGGAGGGCCGGAACAAAAGCATGGATGGAGTGTTTGTGTGAACTAATATAAATTCAAAGTAAACATCATTACATA